ATTCGAGGGAAGAGGATTAGGGTGAGGGAGAAGAAACCCGGTTGGCCGCGTGACCGTTCGGGAGAGAGAGAGAGAGAGAGAGGGAGAGAGAGAGAGAGAGAGGGAGAGAGAGAGAGAGGGAGAGGGAGAGAAGACGAATAAAAAGAGAGGGGATCCCAGAGCCGGAGAGATTGGAGCAGCATGGCAGAGGGATTCCGAGGGACGTATTGATGGTCCTGGAAATTGAAAACGCGCCCAGCGAACCGAAGTGGGCTCAGCCTCCGTCTCTTCCCTGATTATTTCTGTTGGATGAAATTTCTGGGCAAAATGGCGGACGCCTCGTGACATCGCGCTCTGAAATTCCGTAACGGGTCGCTCGGTCTTCGCGATCTTTAGCGGCTTTTTTTGTAGTTCTACTCGCATTTGGGAGGCAATTGCTTCTTTCGATCATTTAGTTTTTTGACTTTGATAAAATCTCTTTTTATTTGGTCTGTGGAGTTACGTGTAAGAACACGAATCACTTTTGGCGATTTCATGGTAGTCATAATTATAATGATTCAAATGTTTATATAGACGGCTCAGAAGCCGATTAGTGTTAAAAGTGCGTGAACTTTAAAAGTAAGAGGAATAAGGATCTTGCAAATTAGCTGTGAGAAAATAACGCGAACTAATAATGCCACTAAAGTGCAATTTTTATTATAAGACGACAGACAAACGAACTTAAGCAGAAGAAATGTGTCAATGTTTTATTTTATATAGACGGCTCAGAAGCCGATTGGTGTTAAAAGTGCGCGAACTTTGACAGTAAGATATAAAATAAGGATATAAATAAATATAAATATAGATATAATAATATATATCTATATTATAGATTATATATTATAGATATATAGATATCTATATTATAGATTATATATTATAGATATATAGATATCTATATTATAGATTATATATTATAGATATATAGATATCTATATTATAGATTATATATTATAGATATATAGATATCTATATTATAGATTATATATTATAGATATATAGATATCTATATATCTATAATAATATAGATATAAATAAGGATTTTGCAAATTAGCTGCGAGAAAATAACGCAAACTAATAATGCCACTAATAATGCAAAGTGCAATTTTTATTATGAGACGACAGACAAACGAACCTAAGCAAAAGGAATATGTCGACGTTTTATTTGAGGAAATACAATACCGTCTGAACAATTTTGTTCAAATCATTCCGTGGCCGATACGAGTGTGCTATCTATTATTGTCTATGTAAGAAATCGACTGTATTGATGCACCGACCGAAAGATCCTGTGATAGAGATGTGCCTGCACCGCGTAACTGCTTTGCAAAGGAGAGTGATTTACACTGATTTGCTTCCGAACCGTTCATGTATTGATCTATTTCTCATTTCTTTCAGCCTGCCTTCTTCAGATCGATGTTAACTTTCTTGTAGGATGTAATACGAATAAGTAACAGTTCGAACTGTCTACTAGGGGGGTTTGTCTATTAGAGTACTTGTAACACTCAATCAAAATTTGACCCATCCATCGAAGGAAATGATCGTTATGCAGATATTAGCGAGCATCTTTAGACCGTGTATTTAACATTTAACTATTTAAGAATTCATTGTAATGGCGGTTTGAACACAATTTTTATTTCATCGGGTTCTGCTTTTAAGCTAGATTCTTCTATTACAGCTCGCTTCTTGATCGTAAATTATTGATAAATTCGACCATATTTGGTATATCACTATTGTATTATGTATTATTATAGTTAATTATTATAGGTATTATAGTCAACAAATTCTGATCTTATTGAAGTCAGTAGAAGTACATCTAACGAAGAATATCTAATTTCGTTAACTTTCAAGCTATTCAAGCAAATTCATCCACTATTTTTTTATTCACTATTCAAGCAGACTACCACTATTTATTTATTCACTATTCAAGCAAATATACTAAACGTTATGGCGTAATTTTTCGCATAGTCGTAATTCTAATGCAAATACGGTTCCCGATTTTGAAGTACAAAAATTTGCTTTAATCGAACGGACTTACGTTGGAGTACTCGTGCCAAGAATTCCTATAGCGATCGTTCAACGGAGAACAAAAATTCGATGAACTTACAAATTTCGAGTTAAGAGGGTCACAATTGTGAAACCAGGTCAAAAGTGCCAGGGATCGGCGCCACGCGAAATCGAAAAGATGACAGGTTACGAATTATTCGCGGAATCGTGACTGGCAGCAACCTGGTGACTTCAATAGAGTATTCGACAGTCACGGTGGCCCATTGATTTCATACTTATTTGCTGGAATTCGTGATGTATTGTTGGCCGTTGAAGTCGTTCCTTAAAATACACGTACTTACCGAATAACTAGAAAATGTTAATATGATACAAAAAGGTCTCAAGAAAAATGTAGGTATCTATATTTTGAAAAAAAGACTACCTACCATGAAAAATGTTGATCTTCCACTCTCTGTTTCATTAACCTTCCGACGATGACTGGATCTATTTCGATTGAACATCGAAATTGTCATTCGATTGCGCAAGTTCGAACGATTCAATTAAGCGATGCTGTTACCATTACAAACAACGGACAGATTAATATATTTGCAAGAAGTGTTTATTGAAAATTTCAAATATAAAACAGTAAAGATATTTGAAGAATTTAAAAAGGCTATTGGCATTACTTCTAACTCAATAAAATAATGAAAGAAAGGAAATCTCCGTTTGGTCCAATATTTTATTCGTGGTATCGAATTCTTAAACAATGGTTTCACACAAGAAGAAGTCTCTTTAAACATACATTTAAAAACTTGACAAATAATACGGCGAACTTTCCTATTTAATCCAAAGAAGAAGATACGTTGTCCAAGGGTTGAATAAATTCGGACTTTAACGATATTTTGCAAATAAATGCCTCGATGATTTCTTGACTAATGGATGTATAAGAGATCCCTTTATAAATATACCTACAAAAATGAACGAATAAAATAACGAATTTTCCTAATATCTGCAGAAAAAGTCCGCTAGCTGGGGGCTGAATAAATTACGACGTCGACGTAGCTTCGCAAAGAAATGCTCAATGAATTCTTGACTAATGGGTCTATAAGAAGCCCCTTCAGGAACATATCTACAAAACTTGATGAACGAATGTTCATATAATAACATAATAATAATAATAATAATAATAATAGTAATAGTAATAATAATAATAGTAGTAATAATAGTAATAGTAATAATAATAATAGTAGTAATAATAGTAATAATAATAATATAATAATAATAGTAGTAGTAATAATAATAATATAATAATAATAATAGTAGTAGTAATNAATAATAATAATAATAATAATAATAATAATAATAATAATAATAATAATAATAATAATAATAATAATAATAATAATAATAATAATAATAATAATAATAATAATAATAATAATAATAATAATAATAATAATAATAATAATAATAATAATAATAATAATAATAATAATAATAATAATAATAATAATAATAATAATAATAATAGTAATATTAAAAATAATAATAAATAATAGTAAACTAGTAATAAAAAAATAATAATAAAATAGTAATAGTAATGATAATAATAGTAGTAATAATAATAATAATAATAGTTATATATAATATAACATTTACGGATATCATAAAAATGGGAGCGAGAGACGTCTATAACTGAAATCGGCAATTACTTAGTTGCCAACCCAATAAATTCCAACATCGATGCAGTTTTCAAAGTGTTGGCTCCACGGTGAACCTGTTTAGACACGAGAGAGAGAGACATTGGTGCGAATTGTTTTCGGCTTGCTACCGGGCCGCTCTTAATTTCGGTTCGTAGAAGTTGGTTGATCGAAGCGCTCCGGGATTGATCGAACTTTGTATTCATAACCCCGGGTCTTCGGATAACGCACCACTCAACAACGATACATCACGCAGAATGAAAAAGAGACTGAAGCAACGGCGGAAGGGTATGAAAAGCGGCAGGTAGAATGGGTAGAAGAGAGAGAAGCTAGCGGTGGTTGGATAGCCACTATCAGAGAGTCCCTATGATTAATGATCGACTACAATGCTGTTTTCATTAAACTCATTTCACTGCAGCTCGTATATAACACTGACATGGCCGACCTATGGCCTCGAGCGTATCAGCGCCCTTTGCTCCTTTCTCACGTGGCCGTTAGGATCCCTTGATTATGACGTTTCTATGATCGCCAACCTTGACGGGGTCCCTCGAATCCCGTCCAATTAAATTCGATCATTCCCGCGCGAACCACGCGATCATGGTGAATTACGCGCACGCGAGAAAGCGCGTTGGATTTCGAGTCAAAAGCGATCGCCAAATTTCGGGACGGCTTCGTTTCTTCTTCAGCAAGCTTTCGAATGTAATGTGTTCATTGTCGATTGTTTTCTGTAGAGCTTATTCAATCTCGTTGATATTTTTCCGGCGAATTTCGAACCCAGCGTTCGTTGCGCTACAAAATGGCCGACACACTTGTTCGTTAAACGTTATAAAATTAACCGTCTGCAGTCAGGAAATTTTCTCAAATCAGATATCCATAATTTGATTCATTCGTGTTTGTATTTATTCGTAAAGTAAATTCTAAATAATTATTACAGTAAAGTGGTATTTGGCGTAAAATTGCGTAGATGAAACTCGTATAAAACAACACAGTTTTTAGTTTTGGAAGTGTCGCTTTCTGAATTTTTATAATATACATATAATAAACTCTTCCTGCAACTAAAGTTATAAACTAGATTTATGGAATTTATTTCTCCATCAAAACTGGATTTTTCATTTTTATATCATTTATGAAAAAAAGTATTCTGCATTTTTATATTCGAAGTATAAATAGTGGAATATCAGGACGAGGAAATTGTTTTTTGGTTCTACGAGATGCAAGGAGGTTTGAAGAGTAATTGCTGTGATTAGAACGGATTTGTTATGCATTTGTGGTGTGTATGCAATTAATCTTCGCTTCCAGAAAGATACGAAGGAGTTCGATTCACAAGAAAATGATCCGTGGGCAGGTCTTCCTTACACCGTCGATCTTGAAACAGGTATGTATAAGTATCGTTTTAATTATCTTCGAACTACTAGGTGACGAAATTTAACCGAGTTAAATTGTCAAGAAATTATTTTTGAAAACAGAACGGAGCATAGTAATATTGAGAACTCATAGCTTTATGTGTGTTAACAACACCAAGTTAATTGGTGATAAAGATTGGAGGAAAACGTTGAATAATAGACATTTTTCGCGGCAATTACTTCTTTTAAAAAAATCTTGTACGATTTACAATATTTACATAGTACCAGCGATATTTCGTGAATTCAAATAGCATTGCAATACTATTCATGTGAATTTGTGGTTTAAATTCTTCGTTTAAATGTTTCTTTATAAAACGTGCTAAATTCGAACTTTGTTAGACGTTTTCATGCAGAACTCAATTCTTGCACGAAAAAACAATTGCTGTAGCTTCGATAAGATAAAAAGATATGTGAAAAGGAATTTTGTGAGAACTTTCTGTCTTTCTGTTCTTTAGAAGTTTATATGAACTATTAATACACAAATAACTGTAGTTTTTCAGACGATCTTTTAATTAATGTTCCCTCATGTTACATCTAATATTAGGATAAAGCAAATAAATATATCAAAATGACACGAAATTATGGCAGTTTCGTGCAGGATTGATGAAATTTTGAAACTATTCTCTGTGAATTCATGACTGTGGTGACGATGAAAAATCTTCCAAAGCGATCGTATAAAACAGAAATTAATAATAATAATTTTGTTAAGTGAAACAGTAATGTTGTGTTCGCTGCTTAAATCATTAGCATTTAAAATAATTATGGACTGCAAGATTTCGTCATTTTTGACACTGGATTTATAGAGCAATAAAAGCAGCTGTTTTATATTAGTTTATAAAAGTAACAATAAGATATCTATCCTGATTTTTAACGAGTGTTATCGTAATATTTGCCGCAAGTAACGCATATATTAAATAAATTTCTCATAAATGTATCTTTACAATCCGAACGATTGTAAATTAACCAATTAATGACCCGTCATTTTGACGGATTTGGTAAACTTAGGCAATACATTAAAATATTTGGTAAACTTGATGAAAATTCGTTCTCGATGGTACAAACAGTTTCCAAACGTTAAAACAGATTTATGCACCGCGTTCTGCAGTTTCTCTATAAATGCCGTGATTTTTACGGAGTCAATCGAGTGTGATAGTCGCAGTTCACGCAGATTTTTTCGCCGCTTCGACACGGTAATAAAATCGAACAATATCTAAGCAGCAAACAGCTCCTTGTGTTCGAGGCGTATCGAATTAACATTGCAATTTGTAAGAGCCAATTTGAACGTTCACCGCGAGAAAGAGAGAGACTCAACCGCACCTGGCCGCACCTTTCGCGGGTCTAATTATCATAAACGCGCACGGTTAAATGCGCCTGTTGACCACTTTCCCGGACAATGTATTTTCGCGTCAATTAAACGTCGACAGCTACCCGGCAGCAACGGGGAAATGCGCGGAAATTAGAAATCGACTTGCAATTTCGATCAAACCGATCAACCGATCAACCATTCAGTTGTTCGACATTGACGTGTAGACTGTCGAATATCAACTTAAAAAAATCCTACAGAAATTATTAATGTTCGCTTAGAATAGCTATTTTGTATTCGACTGATAACAATTCTAAAGGAACGTTTAATTTGTAACAGATATCTTAAGGTAAAAATATAAAAGTTCATGTTAATTTTCTATTTACGTAGCATTGTTTAAAGAACTGGATACGGAATAAATATAGATAGTAAACATATTGTGATTTTTAGGTGGATACTTATATTATTAAGTGAGAAATATCGGTGAGAATGCAAACATTATCAGAGGTTTATAGTTATTCGTTATATGATGGCCTCTTTTAACTGAGATTAACCTTGTATATTTAAAAAAAGAACCTTATCTAAATATCGTGTATGTATATTTCTATTTTCTATTATTTCTAATACGGAAATGCATAAACATGATATTTTGATAAGAGTTTTCGCTTAGATATCAGTAACAATGTAAAAGTTAGTTTGAATCTATAATTATTAGACCGCGGATATTTATGCAACATAAACGTAGTCTGAGATAACGATGGGAAACGTGAGCTGGATGAAAATGTCTTTTCTGTTTGAATAATTTCAATATAAGTTGCGTATAATAGAAAAATATTGTCAAATTCTTCTAATATTTTTACAATTTTATTTTATTACATAGTCATTTTTGCCCTAATAAATAAATGCTAATAAATAATTAGACGACTCCCTATGTTATAATATTTCTTTACATTTGTTTCTATACAAATGTTAAATATAAATTAATCGTACGCTTCAAAAATAAGCAGATCTTCTTAGTAAAAATATTAAAGGCTAATAAATAATTAGACGACTCCCTATGTTATAATATTTCTTTACATTTGTTTCTATACAAATGTTAAATATAAATTAATCGTACGCTTCAAAAATAAGCAGATCTTCTTAGTAAAAATATTAAAGGCTAATAAATAATTAGACGACTCCCTATGTTATAATATTTCTTTACATTTGTTTCTATACAAATGTTAAATATAAATTAATCGTACGCTTCAAAAATAAGCAGATCTTCTTAGTAAAAATATTAAAGGCTAATAAATAATTAGACGACTCCCTATGTTATAATATTTCTTTACATTTGTTTCTATACAAATGTTAAATATAAATTAATCGTACGCTTCAAAAATAAGCAGATCTTCTTAGTAAAAATATTAAAGGCTAATAAATAATTAGACGACTCCCTATGTTATAATATTTCTTTACATTTGTTTCTATACAAATGTTAAATATAAATTAATCGTACGCTTCAAAAATAAGCAGATCTTCTTAGTAAAAATATTAAAGGCTAATAAATAATTAGACGACTCCCTATGTTATAATATTTCTTTACATTTGTTTCTATACAAATGTTAAATATAAATTAATCGTACGCTTCAAAAATAAGCAGATCTTCTTAGTAAAAATATTAAAGGCTAATAAATAATTAGACGACTCCCTATGTTATAATATTTCTTTACATTTGTTTCTATACAAATGTTAAATATAAATTAATCGTACGCTTCAAAAATAAGCAGATCTTCTTAGTAAAAATATTAAAGGCTAATAAATAATTAGACGACTCCCTATGTTATAATATTTCTTTACATTTGTTTCTATACAAATGTTAAATATAAATTAATCGTACGCTTCAAAAATAAGCAGATCTTCTTAGTAAAAATATTAAAGGCTAATAAATAATTAGACGACTCCCTATGTTATAATATTTCTTTACATTTGTTTCTATACAAATGTTAAATATAAATTAATCGTACGCTTCAAAAATAAGCAGATCTTCTTAGTAAAAATATTAAAGGCTAATAAATAATTAGACGACTCCCTATGTTATAATATTTCTTTACATTTGTTTCTATACAAATGTTAAATATAAATTAATCGTACGCTTCAAAAATAAGCAGATCTTCTTAGTAAAAATATTAAAGGCTAATAAATAATTAGACGACTCCCTATGTTATAATATTTCTTTACATTTGTTTCTATACAAATGTTAAATATAAATTAATCGTACGCTTCAAAAATAAGCAGATCTTCTTAGTAAAAATATTAAAGGCTAATAAATAATTAGACGACTCCCTATGTTATAATATTTCTTTACATTTGTTTCTATACAAATGTTAAATATAAATTAATCGTACGCTTCAAAAATAAGCAGATCTTCTTAGTAAAAATATTAAAGGCTAATAAATAATTATACGACTCCCTATTGTTATAATATTTCTTTCTGTATGATATATCCTACGTGCCGATTGTTTTCTCGTAAAACGAAACATTTGGAAAACAACGATCGGTTCTGTTCTACCAATAATCCAATTATCAAAACGAAGCTCGATATATCAATAAAAATGTAAATTAACGTCTAAATCACTGGGCATGCCCAATCACCGGGACATTATTTACCATACACCAGAACCAATCGAACAAATTTCCACAGCCCTTTCAAGCCCTATTCTAAAGGCAAGATCGAGCCACCGCGTCTTCATAGCCATAGACTCTGAAATTCGCCCGTGAAATCCGTCCGATGAAATTTCGCGTGCAGGTACCATAGAGAACGAAACCGAACCGAACAGACCAGACTCTCCTTGGCCGCAGACCCAGCGGGTTTTACCTGGCTGCCAAGGTGCATTCTGTCCGAGAGCACGCGATCACGAATTTTCAGAGCCAGATTGCCAGTTCCATAAGACTCGGGGAGTGGCCTCAGAAACGCCCTCGCTACCTTCATCCCTCCCTTAGCACCCGAGAGCCCACCATCCCGGCCCGGCCAGCCAGCCCTTCGGGTTCGGTTCCCCTTCTTCTCTGCATTTAATTACTTTGCGTCGCGACGGCGACGGGCAGAGAGTGCGCCTAGCCCGCTCCGCCACCGCTCCGTTCTGCTCTGCTCCGCGCCGCGCCGCGCCGCGATCCACTCTACGTCGTGTTTCGTATCGACGCTTGACGAAGGTTCGCTCGTTAAAACCTTTTTAAAATGTCGGCGTATCCGCGAAGCTGTTCCTTTTTTATTGGCCAGGAAAAGCAAAAAATCTTGTCTTCGCTGATTCTCTTAAAAGCAGCCGCGCGATACCCGACGATCGAGCCGATAGATTGTTTTCGATCGGCCCAGAAATCGATACGGCCCAGAAATCGCGCGGACACATGCTTGTATATCACGATTTTTCGAAATAATCTCGAGCTTTTTCTCCGTTCACCCCGCCGCGGAAACGTTCGGACGGCACAGAGCGCGTCGATTCTCTCTCGTTTCAACCCCTAACTTCGTTCGTTCATTTTCTCGAGCGTCCAAGAACTTAGCTTTTCCATCGTAAAATTATATTTGTCGAATTGCAGGCTTCACGAGGAGACAACGATTTTCTCGGCTTTGGTGTAATAAACGGTTTTGTTATCGGTAGTCGGCGGATCCTTATGCAAGATATAAATTGTCGGGGT